CCACGACCTCTCTCTCTCTCTCTCTCTCTCTCTCTCTCTCTGCGTCAGACGAACAGGCGCTCGCCTCCTGTTCGTCGTGGTTTCTTTGGTAAGACAGACGGTCGTGTTGGATTATGGGTAACTGCACTCCTCCAGCACACACACACACACACACACACGGTCACCATAAGCAGTAAACAAAAAGTGTCGTGTGGGAAAGAACATTGTTTTCCTTTCTGTGGGAGACGGTGAGGGAGGGGGTAGAGACGTTCTAGGACCCACCTCCTTCAGGATCAACATTGGCCGGCCCTCACGTCCTGCAGGAACATGGCAATTGAGGAAGGTATTCGTCATGTAATTGTACTCCCCCCTCCCCACCTTCACCGCCTCCGCCTGTAGGATACCGAAGCGTGAGGACATCGAACTCGCACTATAACTGGACTTTATAAGGATATGTAATGGTGTGCCGCAGGACCCCGGCTTGTCGCCCTCCACGTTTTTCTTGAGTGTGTTTCCGTTCTGGGTTTTCCTGACCTTGATATATCCTGTGTGGTCTCTCTCTCTCTCTCTCTCTCTCTCTCTCTCTCTCTCTCTCTCTCTCTCTCTCTCTCTCTCTCTCTCTCTCTCTCTCTCTCTCTCTCTCTCTCTCTCTCTCTCTCTCTCTCTCTCTCTCTCTCTCTCTCTCTCTCTCTCTCTCTCGTGTACCTGGCTAGCTGGCTGGGACCCGCATCGCCGTGGGTTTTTATCAAGTGGAATTCGAGTAATGCGGCAGACCAAGAATGCTGTAAAGGGAAGAGTGAGGGGGAGGGAGCCGAGGACACTGGTCTGACCTCTGGGGGGTAATGTGGGAGGAGGTGGAGAAGGAAAGAGGTAGTGAGGGAAGGGGTAGGTGGAGGGAAGGGGTAGGAGAGGAAGTGTATCAAATGTTAAACTATAGACCCAACACACTGCCCCTTATATATCGCCAGTGTGTGAGGGTAATAATGCTGCCCTTAAAATATCGCCTGACCCTTAACTCTCACCCAGTGTCGTTACCAGGAAGTGAGAGAGGTTGACCCCTGGTATGAGTAACGATGTATGAGTGACGATGTATGAGTGACTGACTGTATGAGTGAGACTGCATGAGTAACGATGTATGAGTGACTGACTATGAGTGACTGACTATGAGTGACTGACTGTATTAGTGACAGTGACTGTATGAGTGACAGTGACTATGAGTGACAGTGAATATGAGTGACAGTGACTGTATGAGTAACATGAGTGACCATCACTAAATTTCTCTTACAATGGAATGTGGCCACTCGAACGTCGCCTGCACCCCTCCACTTCCCTCCACCTCCCTCCATTTCCCTCCACCTCCCTCTACTTCCCTCCATTTCCCTCCACCTCCCTCTACTTCCCTCCACCTCCCTCCATTTCCCTGCACCTCCCTCTACTTCCCTCCATTTCCCTCCACCTCCCACTACTTCCCTCCACCTCCCTCCACTTCCCTCCACCTCCCTCCATCCACTTCCCTCCACTTCCCTCCACTTCCCTCCACTTCCCTCCACCTCCCTCCACTTCCCTCCACTTCCCTGTACTTGTTATAATTATTATAATTATTATTATTAACATTATTATTATTTTAATTATTATTATTATTACTACTAATTTTTTTTCTCTCTCTTTACAGGTAATAAAGTGAAGATGTCAGACTGGAAAATACAAAATCCACTTCAACGCGGGCATGATGTGTACTGGTTGGCCCTCACCCACATTCACGTGCACTGATTGGTCCTTATCTGCTGTGACGTCAGGTAGTGTCACTGTTACGTCATGATGGGTATAAGGTCCAATCAGAGCACGTTGTGATGGTTGTGGATCAACACGCATCTCTGTATGGGCCAATTAGCACTCTTCATGCCCGCAAAGGAGTGGGTTTTACACATTAGCTATTGTAATTGGCTACTGGTATGTAAGTACAGTAATAATAATAGTGGAGTTTGTTTATTTATTTGTGGGGGGATAACCACCGTTAATCCCTACCTTGTATTAACTGGTATAAGCGGATTAATGAAGTTGTTTACTGCCCCTTGTTACCAGGTACCTTCTTAATCCCCCCTAGTATCACCAGTACCACCTAGTACCCCGTGACCTCCACGCACCTTGTCTTAAACAACTTTCAATTTCTGTTCACCTTTCTAGCTCCACGCGTTCCCGGGCCGTCGAGAATCTGGAGTTATGGGGGGAGGGGAGGGGGGGGGTAACAGAGGAGTGGGAGTAAAAGGAGAGAAAATAAGAGTGAAAGGAGAGAAAGTGGGAGTGGAAGAAAAAGTGAGAGTGAAAGGAGAGAAAGTAGAGAGTGAAAGTAAGGACGTGTGAGGGTGGGAAGAGAGAGGACGACGAGTTAGTTGGACAGACAAGTAAATAATGAGAGAGAGAGAGAGGTATGTAGTGACCTGTGGTGTTATATATAGTCAGCATCCTCGCCTCGCAAGCAGGTGGACCCGGGTTCGATCCCCGGGCAGGGTGAAACTATGGGCAAGTTTCTTTACGCCATTTGCCTCTGTCTACCCAGCAGTAATTGGGGACCTGGATGTTAATCGATTTGCGGATCGTGTTCCGGGGTAATGGTTAGCCAGTGCAGTTGGTGAGTTGTCCGGTGTTCTCGGACTGTTCCTAGACACTGGGTCATGCAGCTCGTTAACTCAGGGTGTGGCTGTTGTGTTGGCGTCAGCTTCTACACCTTGAACAAATTCTCGCCTCGGTACACCATTGTCTCCTTCATTAATTTTCCCAAATTACACCACACACCTGTATAATCTCCTCCAGGTGTATAATTATATGCATACTAATTATATATATCGTCTTATAGAACCAATTAGTATTATATAGTTCAGGTATTGAATGTTTGGGGTTAGGTTAGGTTAGGTTACGTTAGATTATCTCAAAGTATATTCTATATTTTCAAGGGCATTTGGGCACAGTGTGGGAGGGTAGGGGGGGGGGTACGTAACATGACAGTGGATAACCCTCCTCCCCACATACCACAGTGTGTCAACATCCTATCCACAAGACCAAGGTTCGAATCCCGGTACCCGAGTGTCGACACTGATGCCTTTGTCCTTTGACCCACGGTGACCAGAGAGAGAGAGAGATAATGACCCACCTGTCTCTACCTAAACAGTTATCTTTACCTGTTAACGGGAGTCCATCTGTTGCTCCTCACCTGTGTCTGTCTGTGTCAGTAATTATCATGTGTACCGTCACACACACACACACACACACACACACACACACACACACAGGATCTACAGTGACAGTCAACAATACGCTTGTACACGCACCAATGGGCTTTGCGTAATTCAGCTGACGTCATCGTGCACTCCACCAATCACGAACATTCTTGGGAATTACATAGTGACGTCACAAGAAGGTTACAATAGGATATTTTTTCCGTCAGCCAATCACAAACAACCATGGAAATTCCACGAGTGACGTCACAGGGAGGTGTGTGAGGGAGTGTAGTTGGGGTGTGTGTGTGTGTAGTGGGGTGTGTGTGTGTGTGTGTGTGTGTAGTGGGGTGTGTGTGTGTGTGTGTGTGTGTGTGTGTGTGTGTGTGTGTGTGTGTGTGTGTGTGTGTGTGTGTGTGTGTGTGTGTGTGTGTGTGTGTGTGTAGTGGGGTGTGGGTGTGGCGATGGGGGGTGTGACACTTAATATACAGTACACAAAAACTCGCCCACCTTGCTAATACGTCCACCAGGTGTAACTTATGTACTGTGTGTGTGTGTGTCTGTAAGTGTAAGTAGAATGATATAAATATTTGTTTAAGTATGATTTTGTTATTCTAATATATATATATATATATATATATATATATATATATATATATATATATATATATATATATATATATATATATATATATATATATATATATCTCTCTCTCTCTTCCCTCCTCTGTCTGCCTCCTTCCTTATCTCCCTCTCTCCCTCTCTTCCCTCTCCTCCCTCTCTTCCTCTCTTCCCTCTCCTCCCCTCTCTTCCCTCTCTTCCCTTTCCTCCGTCTCTTCCCTCTCTTCCCTCTCTTCCCTCTCCTCCCCTCTCTTCCCCTCTCTTCCCTTTTCCTCCGTCTCTCCCTCTCTTCCCTCTCTCCTCCTCTCTTCCCTCTCCTCCCTCTCTTCCCTCTCTTCCTTTCCTCCGTCTCCTCCCCTCTCTTCCCTCTCTTCCTCTCTCCTCCTCTCTTCCCTTTCCTCCCTCTCCTCCCTCTCTTCCCTCTCTTCCTTTCCTCCCTCTCTTCCCTCTCCTCCCCTCTCTTCCCTTTCCTCCTCTCCTCCATGGTTAAGACGAAGGGAGGAACACGAGAGGCATTGATATATATTCAAGTCAGTTATATAACCTGGATCTATGGCCTCAAGGTCCTGGAGAAGATGTTTGGCAGGGGCGGTGTGTGTGGGCGTGGCGGTAGTCAGCCACGCCCCTGAAAATACTGATGAGTCTGGACCATTTTCCTCGCTAGTGTTTTATGAAGGAATTGGGGGGTAGGTAGGAGAGAGGGGAGGTAGGAGAGAGAGGCATGGAGGAGGGAGAAGGGGGATGGAACAGGAGGAGAGGGAAGGATGAGGAAGGTAGGAGGGAAGTGGGAGGGAGACAGGTATGAGGGAGAGGAGGAGGTGGGCGTTGTCCTTGTGAGGTTTTTGTAACATGTCCTTGTAAACCACTGTAGATCCTCCTCCCTCCCTCTCGCCCTCCTCATCCCCCCTCTCCCTCCTCCTCCCCCTCTTCTCTCTCTCCCTCTCTCCCCCTCTTTCTCTCTTCCGTCCTATCTATCTCCTTTCTTCCTCCTCCCTTCCTCTTTATCTCTGGTACAGTTCGTCTTTTGTCCTCCAGGGTTGAATCTCTCTCTCTCTCTCTCTCTCTCTCAAAATTTCTAAATCTACGTGTCCGTGTCTAAATCTGTCTACTTCTACGTAACTATGTCTAATTCTACGTAACTATGTCTAATTCTCCGTGTCTGTCTAAACGTGTGTCTGGTGCCCTCAGCTGCGGTCCGGCCCCAACAGTGGAGATGGTGTCCAGGAGGAAGATACTGGGACGGTCACAAGACAACCTCAACGTCGACCTACCGTATCAGGAGGAGGAGGAGGATGCCTGGTATAAGGTGGACAAGTTGTTTAAG